GTTGTTACGCATGTTTATGGTTGACTCTAGGTACGTTACTCGAATTCGGGACATGGAATATTGTGAAAAAATATTAGCTTGAAGGTTAAAGTGCTTATACTCGTAAAATGTGGGTGCGAATCTCTAAACCTTTATTTCTAACTTTGATTAAAAAAATACATTAATGTTTATTTTTTAAAAAACACAACACTCAAAATAAGTTTTAAATCTACATTAACCCGAACCGCGTCCATTTTTGTTTGCCTCAAAAATCTATTGAAATAAACTGTCGTCATGTTTGCGAAGCATTCGATATAAGGTGATGGCCCACAATTTATACAAATCAGCTTACCCGCGCGCGGGGCACGTAAAAAGTATACAGATACTTTTATTGCCGCCTTTAAGGTGGATGAATATAAAGCGGATTTATCTGGATTATGTGGGAATGGTCCACAACACTAAATAAGTGGGAGCAGAAGGACCATTCGCTCAGTTAGATACTTGTATAGAGTCACATGATGCTATGATAGGAACTTTTTTGTCCAAAAAATAATAAGTAATATGTAATGTAAAGCCTAACAGTGCACTTTGCTGTGTACTACACATTGTAGGTGAAAAGAAATTCTGAAGGTACAGCGACATAAACTTTGAGGTATTTTATGTTTACCTTAATGATCTTGCCTTAGTAGGTAGAGTCGACAGTTTTAAGAATGGACTTACTGTACTAAAGTGTACTATGCTTAGGGGGAGGCGATACACAGCCTTAATCTCAGAGCCGAGATTGGATTGGTTCTTACAAACTGCGTGTGAGTAAATAACCAGATTGGTTATTTAAAAACGGCGGTGGATCAACTCAATGGATACATTGAGAGAGAAGGCACGTTTTGCCGAATAAGAAAGTGTGTGCCTTACACCCTTGAGAGATTTAGAAAATACGCAGCTCAATTTCGAACCTGGCTGATTACTTACTTTACTTTGTTTTAGAGTATGAGATAACCCTAATACCGCCTTAAGTAGTCGAGCCAAATGAAAATTGTAAAAAGGAAAAAAGAAGCTTTGCCAAGACTAACTAAATCGTGACTCGTATGATATAATATGTTGTGTGTTTTACCGGACTGCACAAGGAGGGTTATTACAAACCACAATTGTTGTTGTAAACAAAATCTGTTTTATTGATCACCGAGATGCCCTGATAGCGAATCAAGAGTCGAATAACCTGCAAACATGCGTATGTCGTTAACCCTTCACCCTTTCACCTTCAAACAAAGTGCACTTTAGACCACAATAAAACATACAATATCAATAAGGCAGCGTTCACATTTGAAACGCACGATAAAGTACAACATGAATGCCTAATATGGGCTTTAATGCGCCATTAAGGCGCGCTCACACCGCCGCGTGTCGCCGCCGTATTTACGACGAATAATTTGAGAGATACGTGCTTTTATTGACTGTTATCATTTTGTATTTCTTCCTGTTGGCGCTTTGGTAGCGCGGAGAGTACTGAACATACCTTATATGCGATTCTATTTCCTGCATTTAAAATTGGATACCTAATAAAAAGTACATTTTCAACTCGAAAATAAATTATATTGCGTGTCTACATGGCCCGACTACATGACGCATGGCCGAAACCGAAACAGTGATTTCATAAACTAGGTGCAATTAAAGAATTTTATTGGTTTTCAAACTTGTGACACAAAATTGAAACTGGACGTTCATATTATAATGAGAAATTACTTAGTTAATTTTGATACAGTATGGCGATAGGTGATAGAGGTGATGATTAGAACAATTTATTATATTACTAGCTTTTGCCCGCGGCTTCACCCGCGTGAAATTTAATTTGTCTCAGATCGTCATAAATTATAGCCTATATGTTATTCTGGGTTATAAACAATAATACTGTAAAGTTTCATCTAAATCTGTTCAGTAGTTTTTGCGTGAAAGAGTAACAAACATTCAGACATCTAGACATCCACACAAACTTTCGCATTTATAATATTAGTAGGATTAATTTTCTCATATTTGTGGCATTATAGGTAAGACTCTTTGACTCATAAGTATTTACGTCCAAGAGTCGCGCTGTGTGACCCATAACGCCGGCTTTAGACCATTCAATTCGCGTGGATTTGCTTATTTCATTTCACATCCCTATTTACGATATTGGCTGCGATATTTAGGGGTCGTAAGAAAACTTTTGGATTTGAATATCCAGTAAAGCGCGAGTTGAGTGTTTGCGGTAAACAGGTACAAAGACACAGAAAGCTACCATCTCAGAAGCAATCAAAAAGAGCAACTACTATTTCACATGCTTCGGAGGCTCGTAGCATAAATTTTTAAAACCAAGATGATTTCTTCGTTCGTTTCAGTCAAATGACGTCCACTGCTGTACAAAGGCCTCCTCCAAGGATTTCCATAACGTCCTACCTTCGCTGCTCGCATTCAGGCTCTTCCCTCGACCTTCACCAGATCGTCGGTCCTACCTACGCTACTCTTACTAAGCTTTCGATTCGCAATACCTGGGGTTGACTTTTCCTACGGACTACGAATTAAAAGCTCTCTTGTCCCTAACCTACCAATCACTAGAACTCGGCACTAACCTTTATATGAACAACAAAACAAGAACATAATAAAGAAAAGAAACATCAAAAGCTTCACAAAGTTAACTGCGCATCGCGCATCGATGCCAAATCCATCACCCGGACATAAGCCTCGTTTACACTCTCCCGGCACTTTTACAAGCGGCTCCGCGCCTTAATATTCAATTACCCCTAATTGCCGACTAGATGAGGAGTGATATCTGCGACAGATTAACGGCACACATAATTCATTACAGTAATGGACGCGGTTATGGCCGACAGTAACTTTTTTACAGTGCGGCTGAGTGTGCAGCCGCCTTAATGCCGGAGATGAGGCGTTCGTTTGTTTTATCTACATAGTAATCTGTGTTTTAGAGTGGTTTGACTATTGGATTGCATAAGTATAATTAATGCCGATGAGTATATATAACTTGCATACTAGATAGAAGACACTGTCGATCTTTTGGTAATCAACAATAAATCAAGCCTTACCTCAAATCAAAGCAATCTTATTTGAGACAAAATCCCTAATTAATGGTTTCTCTTTAACTTACTAACTAGCTTTTCTCTGATTAAATTTTCAAATTAGGAAAAAAGATATGTACCATCCTAGACTGCATGGATGCATCCCACTTAACATCAGGTGCGATTGTGGTCAAATAGTTATTATGCATAAAAAAAAAACAAATTTAAATGTACCAAGTTATTTATAGGTACGAGGAACACTATCACAATATTGGCAAAGACAATACACGTCATTTGTATGGCAAGTCGATTATCGGTGGAATCCTGGGCGCAACATATGCTAACTCGATCGCGCTAACTCCGCGCGTCCGAGATAATGCCGTTAGCCTGCGTCTTGCAGCCCTGATTGTGCGCAGGGCTGCCACCAACCGGTGACAACCATTTCCATATTTCATTATTCAAAACTAAGACCCTTATTCACGAATAACGACGCTCAAATTCAGTTCGAACTTAAGCTGCATGAGGTCATTGAAGTGAATGAGACCACTGTGATAGGACCAATTGTAATAATATTTAGTATTTGAATTTTAGTGGCTACCCGAATGAACTTTGTAATTCAATGTAAAAATATAAGCAAAAGTAAATGTTTCTTCAACCATTTTTGTCAAACAGGTAACTTGTCCTGAATTTTAGGTAGTTGTGTATTTACGTAAGCAGAAGTGGCAGCCCTGTCAATTTACTAGTGCTGTATACGTGTCGATATCGATACGGCGTAGTTAGCCCGAAGGCGGCTAACTTTGAGGTTGACTCGCCATTAACGCGAGTTTGATAGATTAGCGAGGTACTTTGTAAGCCCATTTGCAACAAACAACAGCCTTTGAATTTCTTAATTCTTTGAGATGCCTAGTATATAAGTCCTACCTAGTTTAACGTTCAACTGGAATTGAAATTATTAAGTGAAAAACTAAATGTAACTGGACAGTATAAACATATCTCTTCTTGTGGGAAACTGCTTTAGTTACGAGTGTATTTAACAAGAGTTTTGAAGAATTTGTAATTTTATTAGAGACCTACAACTACTAACAACGATTTTTTCGGCAAACCATTAACATAACAAGCATCCTAATGCTAATAATGATACATACTTGCCTGGATTAATCACCGATTCCTAAACACGCGTAGTACCCAATGCCTAATCAGGCAGACGCATGGCTCGCGTCCAGCGGCGCGGGCGCGATTAGCAGCGGCTTAGCTCGCGAAGCTAATGAAGATCAGGCTTCGACTCCCACGAGTGACAATAATTATGCATAATTATGTTTCTGGCTAGCTTTTGCTTGTGGCTTCGCCAACATTAAATGTGAATGTGACCTGTCCTTAGATAGTTTGTATAGCGCAATATAAAAGTGGCACATCCGTTTTGGCCATAAGGGTTGAATTTTAGAAAATGATATCTTTGTATTATGCGCGTGACTACGCACACACTCACGTCCCATACATAGTATATAAGGTAATGTACGTCAATAAACGCACGCTATTTACTCTTCTTAACTCGCAGTCTTATTTACATATTTCATCGTCCCAACGCCCAACATTGCATCTTAGTGCTAACCTACGTTACGAAATAAAAATAGTCTCCAGTTTTTCCGTAATTAAGAAACAGGTACTAGCCACTGAATATCAAAAATGGACTACTTTGATGTAAATAAAGACGCTCATCATACGTAAGAAGCCAGGGCAATTATCATTGCCATAAACATTAAAGGAAATAATTTTAAGCAGTCTAGGTATGTGCTAAGTAACAATTTAACAATATTCTTTACCATATAATTTGTATTTCAACCCCAAATAAAGGTTGCGTCATGAGTCTAAAGCAAACAGGAGCAGAATTTCAGGCAATAAAAACTGCGACCCTATTAACCTTATTATTTTTATTCCCAAACTGTCCGCTTGCGCATATAAATATTGGCTTGATGCTTGAGCGGACAGTGCGAAATTTGCATCTACAGAAGATTGTTTAGTCAGTATGCTGCTCAAATTGGTTGTTTTGAATTTTTTGTTATTTTTAACTTCTCTACAATTTTGCGAAAGTGGAAATAGTGAGTGTGATGTTGTGAGATATTAGATACTATTTACGGATTAAATTTTAGTTATAATACCACATATTATTTTAAAACTAATAAATAAGGTTCTTAAAATTTTCCTTGAACTAATTTTTAGATTTACATGCATTAACAAATTGTTTTCTTTTTGTTCGTAGTGCCTGACGATGACTCGGAAACCAATCCACTGTCAATCACCTGCATGAAATGTATTTGCAAGGTATGATTTTTCCTCTATTTTAAATACCTACTCACTGTTACTAGCGTAAATTTTCAACCAAACTTGCATTTGTTTAAACTAAGTCTTATGTAGCAACTAGCGGGCCGCCCGCGAATTCGTACGCGTGGATCCCGTTTACCCCCTTAGGGGGTGGAGTTTCGTAAAATCCTTTCTTAGCGGATGCCTACGTCATTACATCTATCTGCATGCCCAGCCCGATCCGTCCAGATGTTTGGGCTGTGCGTTGATAAATCACTATGTCAGTCAGTCACCTTTGAGTTATTTAGATGGAAAACTGTTCAGTTTTTTTTTCCTGCAACAATTTTGGAATAATCTCATGTGTTGCTACAGGTGATGGGCTGCATAAAGGACGAAGGGTGCGTAAACAACGTGTGCGGCGTGATGCACATCACGCAGGGCTACTGGGAGGCGGCCCACGACAAGGAGAGCGACCCAGCTAATCTTGAAGGTACGAGTAGTTACATTTGGACTCTATAAAATATGGTGATAAGATATGAACCTAAACATGATGATATTAGATTAGATTAGCCTTTCCTTAGGCTGGGTTGCACCATCTTACTTTGACAAACGTCAAAAATCTGTCAAACTCCATACAAAATGCACTGGTTATCGTCATAGTTACCGTTAAAGTTGGGTGGTGCAACTGAGCCTATGACTGAGTTGCACCACCTAACTTTGAATGTAGACTGACAGATTTTTGACGTTTGTCAAAGTTAAAGTAAGATGGTGCAACCCAGCCTTAGTGTTTCAAGTAACTGACCTTATCCTCGTTTCCTGGAAGATATATTTGCTTTTAGCGATGACTAATGTAACGCTGAAATTTTTATTTTTGTGTGGTGTACCTACAATGAAAGATAAACTACTTCTATTTTTTTAATCTACTGATCAAACACACATTATATTGAGATTCGTAACAGAAATTAAGACAACGAATTGCTCAAGCAAGACAAATCTTATGTTGTTTTTCTCAAAGTGGAAAACTCACAATCAGGGCATTGTGATAGTCTAGCCACTCACGATAATTTAAGTAGATTGTGTCTGTATCTATTCTACAACCTTTTCGGTGGATTAGCGATGTACAGCTTGCGTGTGATTTTACATTTTAATAATTTTGTGACAGCGTTCCAGAAATGCAGTAACAACGTATGGTGCGCGACTCGCACGGTGCAGAGATTTATGAAACGACGTTTGCCGGTAACTTTGCCATTATTGTACGCAATACTTTATTGCTTTACTACAATAACATTTAGTATTTTAGTAATTCATTTCTTCCTCACTTTTGTAACAACTTTCTAAACAGAACGAATCATAATCATTTATATATTCATAAACATGGGTAAAAGGGTATGTATAACAGGATGTCACGTATAAAAATATTCTTGGGTACCTACGGCCATGATTCACCATAAAGGTATACTGCTAAAGCTTCTATCAAACAGCAGGAGTGAGCATAGCATGATGATAAGAAGAAATTCAATCGTAACGCCAAGTTCGTTGGCCAGTTTTACTATTTAACGAAACTTTTTCCAGGCCTGCGAAGCAAAACGACCCGACCGCCAGCGCTGCGAGAATGCTCTGGCCCTACACAAGTTCGGGTCGAGCCGTTGCGACCGCAACCTGACCGCCAACACCGAACGCAAGTTCCTCGGCTGCCTGGCCGATAAGGTGTGGAAGTGGCTGGAGGACGACTTGACTGACTAGGACTTCAATATAGCATTGTTGACCTTGGGTGGTAGGTTGAGGATGAATCGCTTAATTTTCTCTCCTTTCTAAGATCCTGATATTGTGAAATGTTTAGTAATGAAATCAGTTTTTATCAGAAATTAGTTAACACTATCCAGTTGGATATGAAAGAGTGTCAGCTATGCTGGCGAAACTCAACTATTTTTTTACCTTAACTCTATAACAGCAACCCGCATAAGCACCATTTTCTAACAAAATACTTTAAAGCAGAATGTCTGTATTCAAAAGACGTAACATTGTTATCACACAGAAAAAGTTGTAACATTCCTTTCATAATACAAACACTATTCAATATTTTCAAAGCTTTTCAATATTGAAACTCTGTAAGTCCTCTCAAGCAAATCAAAGAAATAAATAAACTACAAAGCAAGATAATGACGTTTCAATGGCACTCCTCTCATTACGGCCCGATCCTTCCGCAGGAAACCTGGCTTGTTACCTATCCAGACTCCCACTCTACCTTCAACCAGAAATCCACCTTAACCCAGCGCAATACGGTTTTAAACCCAGCAAAACACGCAACAAAGGCACTAACTGCTTAATGAGCGCCCTGAAGATCGAATTCAGAACGTCTCAATTGAATCTTGTGGCTAATTCACCGCCGATAAGGGAGGGAATCGCATGCACGTTGTAGCGATTGTCGGAGCAAACGGTGCGAGTGTAGGAGGGATTGTGCAGGCGTAATTAGTCATTAACGCGACAGTGGGCAGAGAGCCACGTGTGGCGGGTGATTGGTTTATGGATGTTACGGTCCGCATGTTGAGTGTTGATATAGTGCTTAAAATGAGTTTAAACTGTTACAAGAACGTTGAATTTAATAAATGCAGTATTTATGCACACATAATACTAACTTATTTATTATACAAATAACGCCTACTGTTCTTTCACCAAGAAATGTAGAGCATCCATCCCTTCTGACCCACCGCACTACCAAACCACACTAGCAGTAGTGTCGTGGGGAATATTTTTTCCCTTCTGCACTACCAAGCCAGTAGTGTCGTGGGTAACATACATCTTCATTCCCATCGACACTACTACCATAACTAAATGTAAAATTTGTAAAATTTTGGATTGTTTTGTAATAAATTATGTTTATATGCAACCCTAACCTCTGTGCAAATTTGCAATTTGACGGAATTTACTGAAAATAAAATATTACCTAAAAGGCCTATAACTAAGTATATACCTTTGCGTGAAAGAAAAACCTGAATTAAATTATATTTACCCGACTACGGCAAAGCAAAAGGAGGGTTATGATTTTGACAGGCTATGTATGTATGTATGTATGTTCATCTGTTCCCTCGTAACTTCTAAACTACTTATCAGAATTCGACAAATGACATATCATTAGAAGCGTCTTATTGTCTGCTGGTTATAGGCTATATGGGGTTTCACAAAATCTAATGTGGCGCCCTCTAGCGGACAAACCATACAGAGTAAAAAATAAAGTTAAGATAAATATGCCGTGTTTGGTATCATTTGAAAGCGTTTTACTTGCACATTTACCGTAACATGTACATAAGCCCTTTTAAGTAATATTTTATTTTAAGTAAATTCCGTCAAACTGCAAAATTGCACAGAGGTTAGGGTTGCATATAAACATAATTTATTACAAAACAATCCAAAATTTTACAAATTTTACATTTAGTTATGGTAGTAGTGTCGATGGGAATGAAGATGTAAGGCCCTTAAAAATTACCCACGACACTACTGGCTTGGTAGTGTAGAAGGGAAAAAATATTCCCCACGACACTACTGGTAGTGTGGTTTGGTAGTGCGGTGGGTCAGAAGGGGCATCCATTAATTTAGTTTGCTTTGCATCAAAGTAAACAAAAGTAAAGGGTAAGAGGACAGAAATGTAAATATCTGTTCATTGTTTAATCCATCACAAGGTTCTCCCACAAACCTATGCTTAAATGTGAAACAGGTAGGTATCTAAATAATTATCAGGAAGGAATTAGTTTTTGGTAATAAAGAAACTATAGGAATAAAACCTCAATACCAACTCATTATGGCCGCTCATAAATAAGGTTGTTCGTTATATCATTTGCCAAATAAAGCAAGAAGCAAAACACTTATTCCAGTCCTCCCTAATAGCCCAATCCAACCTAATTCCGTAGCCCCTAGTAATTCCTAGTAATTAGGCGCTACTATCCATAAACCGAATCATTGTACACCAATCCATCAGCCGGGACGCTCGGGATAGTTCCGGGAATATAAAACATTTATTGGGACAAGTGTTTGGTTAATGACGTGATATTGCTTTTGATACTGATTGTGATTACTTACAACGTTGCTGAAAATCGTTTTCCGGTTAGTCGTCTACTTAGTTTTTCAAAACCTCTGATTTAAATTATGACACTTTTAGTACTGGAGGTTAAAGTACATCTTAAGATACTGTCAACAGAAAATAAGCATGGTTCCAAATTACTTCATCGTACGTTTACAAGCAATTTATGAAAAAATACTTTACTTTTTTCAACTAGGTATTCTTCTACAATATTCTAGTTATTATACAGAATCATTAATATACCTTTACCTAAACTTTCTACCGGGGCAAACTTGACTATCACTGGATGGGTTTCTATTGGCGGTCAAGCTGTAGATCCTGGCTATACAGGAGATACAGCGTTGGAAACGACAAGTGGAAAAGTCCTGTAATCACTATACTTAACGAAGTCCAAAACTGAGTATTTATCAAACTAGGTACTATAGAAAGTTTCTCCTTTAAGGTCATACCCAAAAGATAATTCCAAGATACCTTCCATCACCTAGCAAACTCGCTAAAGTCATTCCGTTGATGGCATCTCCCAAGTTCCTCGTAAGGGCCCAAACTGTCATAAGGGCGCTATAAAAACAAATCAATCAATAGACGCCGTAGTCGTTACCGCCATATCTGGACATCGCACGGTTAAGGTTAAGACCTGCGTCCAGCTAAGTATAGCTTCATTAATTATAATTTGTGTATCTTTACTGCTTCAGTTACCTACGCTACACAACGACATGGGTAAAATTTACTTTCAGCATGGTTCAATGACAGTTTAACTTTCCCCCGGGACAAACTTGACCTTCATTGGTTGGGTTTTTGTGGCGGTCAAGCTGTAGATCCTGGCTACACAGGAGTTGCAGTGGTGGGAACGAGAGGTGGGAATAGTCCCGATTTTTTTTTCAGCATGGACAAACGCTAGTTAATTTTAATGATGAGTTCATTATCACAGTTTCACAGAACTTAATTAAGTGTAAAGTTCTAATTTCTAGGACATCTAGTTTCTTGTTGTCTGATTATTACGAGTATAGAACTGCATCATAATGTTAACTTTTGATACACAATGACGTTACTTGATCCCTACGTAACGTGATTTATCGATAGTTGCGGTAGTGAAGACTGGGCTCTATAAAGAGAAGACTATCGAAAAGAAGAATAAAACATTGAAACATCTCTTGTCAACAACATCAGTCCACTAGACAATGTTCAGAACAATGTCAATCCAGTCACTACTGGACTATTTTGTTCTCTAACAAACAGTCACTCATCTTCAATAACATAAATTTTCATCATCCTTTTCATAAAAATAATCATCGAATTGTTTTACTGGAAGATGCACACATAGTATTGCATATTATTATGCAAACTACTTAAGCCATATTGTATTCCTAACTCAGATTCCCAATTAAGAAATATTGCTTTCAGTGGAGGCCTGCCCTGAAGGGGGTGTCGCGAAGGTGCCGTAAATGAGCCGATTAATAACCGAGCCAGTCGTAACGGAGATGGCTGTTGTAGTTTTCAGCCGAGGTGAGGGGGAGTATTGCAAAACAAATGATGGGAGAGAAGACGAAGCAAAAATAATAACAGGATGGAATGTATTTTAAGACATCCTGGGAACGAAAATACTATAAAAGGGATGCAAAAATAAAAATAGGAGGGACTGTGTTTTAAGACATCCTGGGAACGAAAATCTTTTGTTCCATCAATTTCTTTAATAAAATAATGAAAAACTTACCTACCTAAATTAAGGACAAAGAAGAGATACTTTTCAGAGCTATTTTGCTAGTCTATATTTTTTTGATGAAATAAAAAAAATTCTTCTAATAGCTTTTCAACCTTAGCTTAATTTGGGACAAAGAAGATGGCGCAATGCAAATTTATTAAAAAACTACCTACCACTCATATCTAATGTAATGAATCGTTAAGAATAAGCAGGTCCCCAGCATCTATATCGATCATTCTCAATATAGTTCGTGTAAACACGAGCAATGAAAATATTGCAGGAATATTTCCCAGGGAACCCAAACAGGCGTTTTACGGACGCATCGTGATATCAATATGCCGCATCACGCGCCATTTTTTGCCAAAGAACCCGTAGGTGGGCTGAGGAGGGTCACCACGTTCGCGCAAAAACTAAACTATAGAAAACTCGGCATTAATCCGAAACATAAAATATCTCTACAATAATTCTAGCAGTATTGATATGCAATAAGTAATAACATTTGATTATACGCATAACTAAAGGAAAAGTTTAAACAAGCTCACGCTCTATAAATTCTATCCCTTTGAAATACTCTGGATAGATAGATGCTTTAGTGCCTAAAGATTTACATCTTAGCATAAACCCACGAGTAAGTTACAAAAATCCAGGTGCAAGGCTGTTTTCTATTCAAGTATCAAAATAATATACTCATACCTTTACAGTTTTTATTTTATTTTTGTGGTCAATCACAATCATTAAGAACTTGCAAAATCATTTGGTATTGTCAATGGGTTGTTAATCTGACTAAATTTTGAGGGGTGACCTATTCGTTGAAAGCATTTGGCTTTAAAAAGGGTTACATCTTCCAAAAAAACAACTAACGATCGGTTGTTCAAGTCCCAAAACGTCCTGAAAAAGCTGGTCCCATGGCGTGTCTACCGTAGGGTGCGTCAGGATAATCCGTATTGATAACTATCATCCGGCGCTGAGCCAGTGTCCGTCACAGCAGGAGCACGAAAACACACCTTCTTATTAATAGCCCTCTTGTTTTTGGGCTCCAAGTTTCGACCGGGGTGTGGGTAAAACAACGGAAAAGCGAAATAGTTATTTTGGGTCCGGCGTGGAAGCTGGTGAATATTAACTTGGATTGAAACACCGTTTGAATTGCGGTGAAAAAGTTTACAGGCATGCAGCTCAGGTAAGAGAATACTGAATGTGTCTAAAGATAATATACATAATATTGGTATGTACATAATTGGTTAAAAAAAATTAAAGGCTTAACTGCTAAAAGAATCCAGCGCAAAAAATAAAAGTTTATTTATTTGCAAATCAAGTATAGACTAGATTTTTAGTTACATCCAAATCTTGACTTTAATATGTAACATTCGACCGTGCCTTTAAAAT